TCTCTCTCTCGATTCGAAGCGAATTCGATTGACTAGATAGCGATCGAAAGCAAGCACGCTCGACACCGGGCTGGGGAGAGTTGCCGGATAGAGGTAGCAGGCCTTGATACTTCGTACTACCGGTATACGTAGGTAAATAATGTACAATTCTAGTCTGTGCACACTAGATACTTGGCAATGCTGCTTGAATTGTCCTCGTTACCGTATATCCTTGGTGGTACCCCTTGCACAAGAGCCCTGTCAACGGAAACCTCGAGAACTGCGCTCAGACAGCGTTGGTACTGTACTACGTCGCAGGCGTAAGTATTACCCCTCGAGGGTAGGGAAAACAGGGGGTTTAAAGTGGAAACTAGACTTTTGAGGCACCCTCGAGGGGTAATACTTAGGCCTGTACCGTGGTACATTATTTCGGGCCTGTACCGTGGTACGTACGTAGTACTGCGTACATCTGGGACAACTTTGCCGTGCAGTACAGTACCGGTATCTGAAATAAGAAAAGGGAAGAAGAGCCTTTTCAAAGCCGGGCCGGGCTGGCTGGCTGGCGGGGAGGAGTTGGAACGGTACCTACCTAGTACGACGTGGAGATCGGGAGATCGCTTGGGTTGTTTCTGATTTGAAGTCGGTGGGTTTTGGTAGAGTTGGTTGGTGGGTTTGGGTAAAGACGGTGGGTTCTGGTAAAGTTAGAGTTGGAGCCGCTTAACCCGCCGGTATCGAACGAGGCGCTAAATTATGTACCCAATGTACCACGGTACAGGCCTAAGTACGTAGTATTACCCCTCGAGGGTGCCTTAAAAGTCTAGTTTCCACTTTAAAACCCCTGTTTTCCGTACCCTCGAGGGGTAATACTTAGGCCTGTACCGTGGTAGTATCTATCGGCAGGATTCTCTGCGCTCTCTTTACCATTCATCTGCAATGCAAGGTGATAACGTGTAGACTTTGGAAAAAGTTGAATGTGATACCGGTTTCGATTAAATAATTTCTTTAATTTTTCACTTACTTTTTTTCTTTATTTTTATTTTGTATTTCTTATTTTTTATTTCTATTTTATTTTTTGGGGGGGCTAAAAACCCGCTCGTACTGCAATACGCCTTCAATTAAACCCTAAACTAGCATCAAGCTCTACGTAGGCATTAAGGCTAAGATCAACTCTAAATTTAATACAGTACTTACGCGCGGGTAATTAATTATCCTTCGTGCTTATCTGATACATTTGGTGTATTCGATACATTCCACGCCAGCGCCGATACGGCCCGCTCAAAACATACAGAAAATTAAGGTAGATAGGTCATACCCACTGTAATACGTAAAAAGTAATTAGATTCATGTAGCAAGCAAAATGTCGACTGTCACACATACCATACCGTAAAGACCCACACGGTTCGCGCGCCCTATCAACTTGAGTTTATCGATTTTCAGCCCTTTGCGTTTAATATATTTAAATAGTAGTACTAACTGATCAGTGTTCGGGCGCAGCAAAAACGTAAGTGACGGTACCTAGAATACGAAGTAGATTAATAGGTATTTTCAATTAAATATAGTTCCGACGTGGTTGGCAGCGTTTAATGAAGAACGATTCTCGAGGGGTCGAGGACTTACTTCGTACTTGCTTGCTTGCCCACCACTCTCACTTCTTTTTCTTCTTTTCTTAATCTCTTCAGCCTTGTATCTAAATCTCTGTCTATATGTACGGTCAGCAGCCCTCTCAATCGTAGCAATAGCAGCTCACACATACATTAAGAAGCATTCGTAGAATTTAGAATCAGAGCTAGCAATGAACTTTGAAGAGAGAGTAGATTAGCTGTCGTTGTTGTTGTTATAGGTAGTGATGACATGAGAAGATTTTACAGAGAAATTCGATGGGCGTTTATTTGCTAGATTGCAGGTCCCTGAAAAGCTACGCGTACAACTTGAGCTTTTTACTGCTTTGATTGTAATACTAGTAGTACCTGTCAATCTATCTATAGTAGCTTATGTTTTGCTATGCCTGAGCATTGATCGATTGGTACTCAAAGATTACACGTAAGGCTGAAAGTTAATGAACATGAGTTGGTGATGGTAGTACCGGTAGTAGTAGTATTGATTTACGTCGGGCGGGTAGCAAGCGAAACCTGCCGCCCTGGGACCTCCTCCCATAGGGTACGGCGACGTGCTAAGCTAAGGAGTTACATACAAGACGGCCCTAGAAAGCATTTCAAGGTGATGCAGCGTGCTGCCATCCACTGCGCCCTTTCCTCACGGATAGGATGAAACGCAGAAACAGAGACTCTTCATAGGGCAAGAAACCAGAAGCGAAAAACTTGAGTCGGTAGGGCGCGTGAACCGTGTTAATAGTGGTGGGACTTGACGTCTCAACTTTCACTCCGTAGGGCCCTTCCTTAGAGTGGGCGAAAAATAATGTATCCCGTACCAAAATCGGGTTTTAAAATCGCAGAATCTTACGACTTACTATTCGAATCAGCTAACGACCGATTGAAATATATATATATATGTAAATTGGACTAGCAGGGCAAGAAAAATCATGTAGCTAATGATGCATTAAGCGCATATAACCTAATATCGATTAACGCGATAGTTATTGCTCGAAATGTGTAGCTTTTTTCACGGTTTGAAGACCTTTTTAAACTGATGAAACTCGAATACGCCAAATCGTAGTAAATTCACTCGTTAAATAAAAAATACAAATAGATAAAAAAGATGTATAATAAAGCTAACATATTAAAGATTTGATTTTATAGATCGGCGGTATCGTCAAGTATCGGAATATCATCTTTTTATAATCGAGACTTTCTTCTAACACGAACAATACTGCGAAAAGTACGAAAAGGGACACATGTTTCTTCTAGGGATACATTTTTTTCGTCCACTTTAGGGAGGACCCTAAAATTTAAGACGTCAAGTTTCACTGCTAGTCTTCGCGGTACTCCCCTTTCATCCTAAGCCTGCCGTAGCAGCATCCGGACTTGGATCCGTTTCCGCTCTTATCGAGCTCTTTCCTGACTGGTAAGTTAGATGCCGCTGAGGATGCTGACATCTCTCTTTCTTTCGCGCTACGCGCCGAGACCTTGGAGTTAGAGAATCCAGCGCGTCGACGATGCCGTCGGGGATAATTATGGCTGCAGACCCATTTTCGCTCCGACTCTATCAAGACCGATTCAAGCGGAGAGAGTGATAACAAGCGATCTTTGGATATCTCAATCCCATGCGAGCCAAGCTTAGGGATGGGTTTCTCGAGGTATCGCAAGAGGTTCCAGGTGTTTTAGGGGGTTCTCGGATGGCGTGTCAAGTGGTACTTGCTGTGGAGGACTTTGTATTGCTTCGCATACTACTGATACGCGACCCGAGAAAACATTTAATAATAGGTACCGGTACCTGGAACCATTTGCAATATCCAGGAGACGCAGATATTTATGGAAGGAAGACATTTGCATGCTTTGTAACGATGATACTGAAGGGTTTGAAGAGTAGAGATAGGATAGTAGGGGATGGACAGACAGGTAGTTAGCTTTCACGCCCACTTGGCGTGCTCTATTAGTTGGTCTCGGGCACCACCAATAGGTTTTACTACTGCCAGAGCTAAACTGAGCGTGGGATGAGGGTAGGAAATCACAAGAGAGAGAGAAGAGGGGAAGGAGAAGGGGAAGCAATAGGTGTTCATTGTTCTAGAGGGAGGGGAAAGAGTGTGTGATGAGTGGATGTGCTTTGCTCTTTTTATATATCAACTGGGGTTGTTGTTGTTGTGTTTACTGACGTCGGGCGGGTGGCAGGCAAACTGGGACCTCTTAAATCAATTGGGGTTAGTGATGAGGAAATATAAAACAGGAATAAAAAAACCGGATAGGCGTGAATGGAGAACTCGTCTCGTAGATTCAGTGTGTGTAGTCGCTTTTTGAGGAAAACCAACCATCTCTCCTTCAACTAATTCCACCTCGTACCGTCTAAGAGGCCGGACTTCAAACCCTACCACTGAAGAGCCGTACGTCAGCACTTCTCTGTACAGCTTACTCATTTCATGGAGAATAAAACATCGGCTCTTCGCCAAACTCGCTCGAGAGCTGCGAGATATGATCCGGAAACAACTTATGCACCGCTCAGGATCCTCCCATCAGGCAGATGAAGAGTTTGGAGAGAGATAACCTACTATGGGCATGATGCGTACGTGCCGGCAAATCCATGACGAAGTCTCGCTGTATCGGTACAACAAGCCCAAGCTCAGATTGACGATCATGCCGCATGGCAGTCGATCGGATGGCTGGCTCATACACATTATCACCTATACCCATCGCCGAAAAGAGATCTTTCCGAATTCCCGCTATGAGCCTCAAGCTACAAAAGTCCGGCTCTTTTCCAATTTCCCGTACGGAAAGCTGGATCACATCGAAATCTACATCGACGCTCCTAAGGGGTATGTACAACTTGGACCACATGTATGCGCTATGGGATACGATCCGCCTTGTGATCGATTTGTTTCTCATCGCTGCATCGAAGAACGCGCTTCCTGCTATCGATATATATCCTCGGGAAGAAGGTGATAGTTGGAGTGAGGACGGACTACCGAAGGAGGCACGTACATATCCGGGCACGGCGTCGGATTATCAAGTCGCTTTGTTGCCATTTTGCCGGCTGCGTTAAGTTCAGCGGGCGCGGATTCACGTACCTGAAGACTTGATGGCAGACGAAAGTGTGTTGAAGGGATACGTAGCGATGATGGAAACAGAGTCATCCCCCTCTTCCAGACACTGGAGCCCTGGACGTGGATCCTGGAAACGACCAACGGTCTTAATATTCCAAGCCTGTTATTCGCTTCTAGTACAGGCTTGACATCGCGCCCGGGGAATTCGCGACTCGCATACGATGGCAGCGCTATTCTCACCACTGGTGCAGCAGCAGTGGTGCTTTCAACCGCCCAAAAGTCCTCGACGAATGGAAAGGACATTTCCAGCAGATCCGGCAACCCGGTCTGCGATGTTTCCTATCAGCTGAGCTCGAGGTCCGGTTTCTGAATTCCATGCTCTTCGATCACCGTTCCACGGTTACGAGACAGAAAATGGAACTTCGCGTCAAAGATGATCAAAGATGCCCCTTCAATATCGCAAAAACTTTGCTATTTTAAGCAGTAAGTCTCAAATGAAGAATTTCGTGAATTATTATAAGTACCTAGCGAAATTTGGGATGGGAAGAAGAGGAGGACTGGATGATATTGAGGAAGTAGGTGGTGATGTTAAGGATACGCAGAGAGATGAAGATATTGAAGAGCCGCCGTCTCGGGACTAGTGGAATTATTATCGCAAAGAAGGAATTCTTTCGCTGGATATGAAGCTCGTAGGTACGAAGGAGGTTTTAGCGGATGTCGATAGCTCCGAAGATATGGCTTTACATCTATCGTAGCTTTAAATCCAGGATCCAGAGACTATACCTTTCGTATCAGGGGATTGCATTATTTTTGCTTGCATAGATTAGGTGATAGATAAGAAAGCGAGCGATCTAAAAGCAGAGGATGTAGAAGAAAAAAAAGGTATAAAAAGTATTTAAATAAAAAAAACTGCAAAACTCAACTGGAAGCTCGTAAACAACGGGATGTTACGAGGTTCCAGCCTACAAACCCAACTTAATGGGTTATTTGGTGCTATAATGGGATATACACAACATTATAGGTTATTTATCACTCTGCCGGAAGCCCATAACAACGCGATGTTATGAGGTTCTAGCTTACAAATCCAACCGAATGGATTCGTACCGAATTATAATAGGATATACACCATTATAATTATCCACCGGCGACCGAGGCGGCCGCAGTTGCGAGCAAGCAAGCAAGCCACTGAGCCACCGCCCCAAATCACCGATTGATGGAAGTCCTCGCGGAGTTTAGTATGATAGAGTAGGCGTTTTTTTTTTTCTCCCCCCTTCTTTTTTGGGCGCTTGGCGCGCCAAGTAGGATTCCATTTTATATACACTTCTCAGGCGGTCGGAAACTATTCATCGTATCGCATACTTTTGACGCCGATTTCATAGCAAATTGAGCATATGGCTTTATCCGCACGTATGATCAGCGGGCGCGCTGTAACGTTGATGCGAAGCCAGCCAGCCAACTGACCACCCCGTGACCGTCTCGCGCACTCCCTCAATCGGTGGGTAAATAATGCATGTCCATGGATACGGGGAGAGTCACGCCGGCAGTAAAAAGACTATTCATTTCCTGGTCTTCGAGAGCGTTCATAACACTTGATACATAAGAGGCGGAAGTGATGAACCGGTATATTATAACGGCATCGGATATCGGATGGACTTGCTCTAGCAAGGATAGGAAACCACCATACCTCCGAACTCCACGCGCACACGATAGCCAAAAAAAGAAAAGAAAGATTGTACTAAACGTCGATGTTTTTCAAAGAGATTCTCTCCCATGCATTAGTATTCAAAATCATTCTTGGATATGCCCTCTCTCCCCCCTCTGAGGAATCTAGGCAGCTCGGATTCGGTCATGGCACCAAGATCACTTGTCGCGCCCTTCAAAGCTCATTTTAACGATAAGTAAGAACCCAGGAGCCCAGTTCAAAGAATTTGAAGTGCCCAAAATGATAACTGGCTTTTCAAGGTCTGTTCTGCCTTCATACTGATCCTCTATGTTTATTAAGCACTGCTTACAGGTCGTCCATCGTTGACTTTCCCTTAATCACTTCATTTTTATTGTTTCTATTCAGACTAGCATAGCATGGCTATTAAGGAAAAAAGGTGATATGGATTTAATTCATTATAATTTGGACCGGATATATACCGACATGGAGATTGACCTGCGATGCTGATAATAGCTTCAAGTGTATCATGTTGATGATGATGGCCCAAGAGAGCTCGTTACATCTGAGCCTTTTTGGCCACGGTGAGAGGATAATCGGAATTCGGGATCCGTGAGTAGCGGATCGTTTTATTCCGTTCGATAGTTGGGAACGGCGGGATGCTCACCTATATGATGCTGCTCCTTATGAGTGCAGGACTTGTCGGCGAGATGAACCAGGAAGGTCCGAGGCCATTCGAGAAGAGTAGATTCGAACGACTTTTCAATCCGTACTGTTTATCTGCTAAGGATACCAAATCGAGCTAGAAGGTGACACGTGATTAAAATTATTCAAAATAGTTACGGAGTTAGTGTGGTTCACTGTTTTCGCACAAGATCAATCTGAAGAATATTTGGAAAGTCCATTGCCAGTTTATCAATGCTGTATCTCGAAGAGACTATCTCATCACAGAAACGCCAAGCCAACGTAAAACATGCACACATCGTGGGTGCGCTCAACTCGGCAGACTGCTGCTCATCTCCTCGGAAACGGGAAGATGTGTACATAACCATCGCTAAAGATTCCCTAGCCTAGGAAAGGCCACATGATCCCGCGAGAGGGGGACAGCGTACCGACCTGCGAGGTTCAAATCTAAACAGAGTATGGCGACACGACCCTATCCCAGCTGCTGTCACCAGCAGCCACCTTCTCCGCCTTGAGCTTCTCCAGAAAGATCTCGAAAGCCTCTCTGGTCATCTGCGTCTTGACGAACTCTTCCCTAGCAGCCCAAACGTCGTCGCGGTCGGGAATCCCGGTTGGGCAGAAGAAGGAATCTTCCAGCGCTGCCATGGCAGGACGGAGTACCTCGCGGCAGAACCTGGCCAGAGCCTCTACCTGACCGGTACTCATATCTTTCTTGTCCTGTCGGACCACCAAGACGGTGCCGATCACCATGTCCCAGTCCTGCATGTCGAGAGAGCCCCAGTAATCGTTCTGAGGGGTGGCAATGGTGTTCAGCGCCGCCGCGGTGTAGTTCTCGAACGGGTTGAAGCCGAGGCGGCTACCCTTCTCCACGTCGGCGGGGTTGAAGAGGCCGGTCTTCTGGACGAGGATGGGGAGGCCCATGATCGTGGAGATCTCGGTCGGGCGCGTGTTGAAGATCTCATGACTGTCAGGAACCTTGATGTGGTAGAACTTGCGCTTGCCGTGGAGTTTCTCGTCGCCCTTGCTAGATATGCGGACGGTCTGGACGAAATCATCGGCTTTGCCTCCGCAGTGGCGAAGGAAGTCGACCACAATTCGTAGATCGGCTGCGGTGACATCCAGAAAGGTGGGGGAGTCTATACTGGTTCCCGGCTGGGAGTAGACCACTATAGGACCTTTCCAGTCGTACCCCTGCGTGCCCTTCATCACTTCGGAGACACATTGGTTGGGGTGGGATCCGTCAAACTCGCCAGACTCCCGAATTTGGATCGAGACAGTGTGATCAAATGCATATTTCTCAACACCAATATAGGTGTTGGTAAGATACATACTTACATTGATTTCCTCCGGGGATGGATCATCGTCTCCAAGGTGTTGACTGTAGTTGATCATCTCGTAGCCTGCATAAGGACTTTTCATTAGATAGGTCTGGTACCATAAGAGTTTGGGGTTCCCTCCTTCTTTAGGCAGAAGGAGAGCCAGTCTGTGGTCAGTCGATGGACGAGGATTGGCGACAGGGAAGGTCTTGAACTCATCGCAGATAAGCTTGTGAGTTCTCCAGTCCTCTTTTTGGCAGCTGGTAGAGCAGTAGAGAGCCGACTCGCATCCACCGCATTTCTTGAGCTTCGTGCTAGAATCTGCACCCTTGTTGCACGTCGTACACTTGAGGTGGTCCATATTTGGTAGAGGCTGGATAGCTGTCTTGAATTAGTTCCTAAGAAGATTTTCTAGAATCACGGATATGTTAGTAGGAGACTTTCGCTAAGTCGGCTGAAGCCTGAGAGGGGAGCTCTAACTTGGAACTAGTGTAAGAACCAAGCCTTGACAAAAAGAAGAGAATGGAGAGTTGGCACACCTGTGGTTGTGACTGTGAGCTAAAAGAAGATTATGGCAAAGGTAGCGCTCTTGGAGTCGCTCGAGAACTTATATAGTAATGCGGCGTGGAAGCTTTCCGAAAGGAGCATGTTCAAGACCAACGGCAATCTTACCATTCACAACGTCACTTAATGAATCACACTCCCACGTCACGCAAGCTTATAAAGCATTGCCGTGAGCCATAATCAATTCCTCAAAAGCCAGAGATCCCGCCTCGAACAACATCGTGAATGGATCTAGGATCACGCACCTCAAACATTCAGTCTCTCGTCAATACAAACCAGATAGGTATAGCTGGCGATATTCACAACTACGAAGCCTTGATCACAGCGAGTTAGAATAGGCCCAATAAAACCTGCAGTGCTAATCTGCCATGTGATATATATTTCAAAGCGAAAGAGGATCTGAATCGCAGTATTAAAGCTTTTGGCGATATATAAAATAGCGAAAGGAAACAAGCGATGAATTTGAATTGTCATTGAGGTCTTTACAAAGCCCCCCTCCCCCTCCCCCCCGGGTTTATCGAAGAGCAGTTTGGAATGCAGCTTATCAGTCGATGTTAGACTTCTCATTTCTGTACTCGAAATCTTATCCTCAAATCACAAGATGCCTCCTGCCATAAGCTGGAGCCAGCTTCTTCTCGAATCGCAATATACCCTCGCAAACGACTAAACCCAAACTCCCCTCCAACCCACTCGCAATAGGACATCTAAAACTACAAAGGATCCACCTGCCCAAGCTCCCACCACGCGCAAATCCCCACGCGCATACACAACGTCAGCAGTGCGTCAGCCCTACCGCCCCTCCCCTAGACCTCATAAGGCGACAGCTCCAGCGCCAGAACCGGGAACGCCAGGGCCTTCTGATCGCGATAGGTCGCCAGCCACCTCTCGAATCTGGCGCGGCAGATCATCTCGCGCTTGAAGGACTCGCGGAAGGCGATCATCTCGCGGCTGGACATGCCGCTGGCGGCGAGGTGCTTGTGCTGCCGCTGCATGGCGGGGATGAGGAACTCGCTGCAGAAGGCGATGATGGCCTGGGCGTGGAAGATAGTGAGGTCTTTCTGGAAGGGGGTGTTAGCACGCCGTCGGGTAGGCAGGCATCCTGTGGTGGTGCGGCAAGAATCGGGGAGACTAGGACTGTGCACGAGAAGAGAAGAGGTACACATATGAACGGGTGAGGGACTATGGATGGATGGGCGGGTTTCCTCTTACCTTGTCGGCGCGCACCAGAGAGACGCTGTAGGTGAACCGGCCGTTGTCTCGCCTGTAGACCTTTCCCCAGCCAGGACTGTATGGATCGACGTCAACGGTCAGCGGAAGGAATTGGCGGTTTTCGAAGTACTCCCGATCCTCGCTCATGTGTCTAGTCTCGGCCTCGCTCAGGTTATCGTACTCGGGGAGGTGGCGGTCGAAGAGGAGTGGCAGCTCGAGGAGATTTGGAACCGCCAGTGTGATTTCGTCGTGGTGGTAAAGCTCGGGGTGGTAGATGGAGTGGCCTAGTGGAAGCTTGACTGGGACATAGACGTGATCCTTAAAGAGCCTCTGGTCGCCCAAGCATGTCAGACGAACGCCCATGACTGGCTTCCCCTCCCCAACAGAGTATCTGATGCCAAGTGGTTTCTGTGAGTCGCTGTGGTAGATGCGGAAGTAGTCATAAACGACTCGGAAGTCCTCGAGCCCAAAATCCCGGTATACGCCTCTCGCGCTCCAGTGGGTTGCCGCGCTCGAAGCAATGAGTAGCGGTCCTCTGAATGTCATCTTATCCATTGGGACCTTGGTTATCATAGCAAGACACTATTACAGAATCAGTGTCATACACCCAAGCAATTTTGAGGGAGAACACCAGGAAGCAACGATCAATAATAATTGAGATGTGTAAACAGCACTAACCTGATTAACAACGGACCCATCTTCCTTATGCCCATCTCTGTACCAGTAACAGACCTGATGATCCAGATCGAAAGGTTGCATGTACATGTGCGAGATGTGAAGCCGATGTAAAATGGAATCTTCCATAGTTGCGGGATAATCATCGCCAAGCACAGTTTCCAAGTCGGGAACATCGAAATGGTGGTATTGGGTATAGCGGAGCCACAGGAATGCTGGCACATCGCTATCCTCAGGGATCAGCAACGTGATCTTGTGTGCCGAAGAAGGTCTAGGTGATGTTCGTATGAAAGTGGTAAACAGCTCGCACACTATCTGATGTAGGCGCTCATCTGCGAGCTGGCACTTCATCGAGCAGTATGTCACTTGCTCGCAGCCGCCGCAGATGCGGGGAGTCCTGCCAAAATTTGCTGGAAACAGAGGGTTGTTACAATAAGTGCAAAGCTTTCGGTTCTTCCACCGGTCTCCCGCAGCCAGCTGGGAAGGGTGCAGCCCATTCCAGTAGAAGGCCTTAGGAGGTCGGGGCCTGGTAGGCCGAATGTCTACCTGCGGGATCGAGGTTCCCGTACCTTCGGGAGTTGTTACCTGGCGTTGTATGCTGTCGACCCCCGCCATTGTCGTCAGGTTTCCGTTGCGGACTAGTAAGTTAGGGTCTGTTGATTCGATCTTTGTTGACTGTGCTGGACTGTGGAGAACAGAATCAGTAGACATCTCAGGCTTTATAAGGTGTGAGCCACTGCTATGTTTGATAGGTTGCAGCTGTCGTTGCTGTGAAGAGGTTGATAATTCAAAAGGCTGAAGGGTCGAAACGTTGAAAAGATAAAAGATCGAAAGTGAGACTAGCTTCCGACGTGAATTTAAACAGATCGAAAACTGAAGTGACAGTCCGCGCGATATAATTGACGCGACGCGCTTATTTGCTGCCTTGAAAGACAGAGCAAGAGATAGAGAAACATAACTTGAACACCACCAATTCAAGCTCCGATATCTTTTAATACAGGAAAAGTCTCCTGTTCCATCCTCAGATAGATTTCCACGTCTCTTGATTTCGATCTCTCCTAATTAAAGAAACCAGGAGAAGAGGTCGGGCGGGTGTGCCACGTTCAAGGCGATAAACAAAGCTAAGCGAGCCCGCCCATTAGGCGCGCTAGCGCCACTTCCCCCATCGTTTTCCAATCCTGCTCATGATCTCAGCGGCATTTCTCTTCTGTTAAAGAATCCCCGACCAGATGTCTCACCGCAACCGTAACAAGAGGCAGTCGCCTTAGATCCCCTTCTGCATTACACCGCGCAGTCTTGGTAATCCTGCCGAGCATATGCTGACAACATCCAGATGATATCGAAAGCATCTTCGACTCGAGCCGCGGAGCTGGGCCGCACGTTCTGATATCTCTAAGCTGAGGCTCTGCAGGATTGATAGGTAGCCTAAGGTGACTGGAACACGGCGCCTAGGCAGGTATTCGAGTTAGTGCTCCACCGCACCCTTCGTCTCTGTCGAGCGACCTCACCAAAGGCCCTTTGCGCTTCGCCGCCAGAGCAAAATGCTGTAGCAGCAGGATACCACCAGTGAGTATCCCCCGAGTGTTCTCACCTCGCCTTCTGCCAGTGTTCCCCCGCCCCCCGGCTTCCTCGACTCTCCAACACAGACGCCCGTGTAGGCATCCGATATAGAGGAGTCCCAAGTACTCTCCTTAACATTTTACGTATATGCGCTTCTGTTCTTGTATCGTAGCTTCCATTGCAATTTCTCGAATACGTTTCATATATAATTCGAAGTCTTATTGAGAAGGACTACTTTAATAACTCGTGGCATTTATCTTGCCACTTCTATAAGCTAATCTCGACATGCGCTAGTTTCCGAAGAGTACGGAGAAGCTCTGGCTCGTGCTTGCTTGCGTTATGGATCAAAAGGTGATGTTACAAATTGTATTTTGTATATAAAAATTGATAGTAAGGTAGAAAAATCCGCATTTCGCTTTCGATCCGCAATCGCTTACGCCGACTAAGACTGAAAGGATGTAAGGAGGCCGGCCTACTTAAGCGAGCCGACGATTGTAAGATATAGCAACACACATGATTCGACAAACGACACACGAAAAAAAAAAAAAAAAAAACCTACGTAGCAAACAAAAGAGACTGGTGCGTTTTCCTTGAAGTGTTTCCCTCGCTCTTTCCCTTTATTTACCATTAGCACAGGCACAGGCACAAGCACATAAGCATAAAGCGACTGCTTGCATCTTATATCATCTCTTATGTCATTATCATCATCACATAACATCGTAAAAAATCTCATCAAATCCTTAACGCCCCCCCATAACAAACACCAACTACCTCCCCTCCCTCCCATACTCCTTAACCTCATCCCCCATACGCCTCACACACAGGCCCTCACAGAAGAGGCCCCACTCCCCCTTCGTGCCCTCCCGGACGGCCTTCTGCATCTCGACCCCGTACCGGTTGCGGTACTCGCGCTTCACGGCCTCCAGGTGCGGCCGGTCCCAGTGGTAGCGCACCAGGCGCGAGATGAGGAGCTCGGTGCGGATGGCGTCGGATCGGGAGAGCGTGAGGGCGTGGTGCACAAGCAGGGCGTCGCGGACCGGCTTGTTGATGACGCCATTGAGGATGTGCGCGAGAAGTTCACCCTGGGGGCACACACACACACACACACACGTGTCAGCATAGCGCATAGCGCAAAGAAGCTCAGGTCGAATCAAAAGCGATCTTTGGATCTGGGTTTGAGAGAGGGAGGGGGGGGGGATGAAATGTGGAAGAGAAGAAGAAGAAGAGGAAGAGGGGAAGGGGAAGGGAGAAGAGAGGGAAGGGGGAAGAGAGGGAAGGGAGGGAGAGATATCTAAGCTTACAACGAGATTCCCACTCTTCTTCAACATCTCCCGTGCGAAATTCGCCCGGAAAGCCCCCTCATAGGCCCTCAGAACCTCCCTCAGATGCGCATCACTCCTCACACACACAATCCCAATCATCGCGCTCTCGCCCCCTCTCTCGCTCTTAATCGCCCGGTACAGATCCCTCGCATCGTCCTGCACCAGCCTCATATCCACGCTCTCCCCTCGTCGCTCCTCCATCTTCCGCTCCTCCAGCACCAGCAGGACGGCCTTCTTGAACTTGTCCTCCTTCAGCTCCGTCCGCATGCACTTCACCAGACTGTCGCTGTACTTCTTGTCGCTGAAGCCGTCCTTGATCGCACGGATCTCGCGGTTCGTGCGCCCCATCAGGCTCTCGATTAGCAGTTCCCGCCGCGACTTCTCGCCCTGGTACCAGAAGTTCGCCCAGTAGGCCTCGCTCTCCCACTTGCCCAGCGCACACGCGTAGCACGCCTTCATCAGACTCGGATCCTCCTCTTTGAGCCGCAGCTTGATATGCTTGGCAATGTTGACGCCCCTCTTCCCGCTCCCCGTCTTCACAATCCTCTTGTACTCGACCCGCAGATCCAGAACTTGCTCGTGCGTCAGGCCGGGCAGGATCTCAATCAGGGGCGCCGTGTCCGGCGCTCTCCTCTCGCCTTTGAGCGCTTTGGCGAGGATGGTGGCTTCTTCCTCCGAGTCGTGGAAGCGGGCTGTACGCCGGGTTTTTTTGTTGCCCCGGCGGCGATCGGAGTCCGAGGAGTCGGGCGAGAGGGGCTCGATGAGATTTACGTCTCCATAGGGATAGGATGCGACCATCAGAGGGGACGGCATGGGAGAAATGGACTGGTATGTACCATGATAAGCCTCCAGCAGCGGACTGCCCGGCGCGCTACCCAGACTGAGCGCAGCACCTCCATGATGGCCCGGCGACACGGTAAGGGAATGCATTCTCGGCCCCAGAGAAGCCGGGTTCGGAGACGGATCTCTGCGCCGAGAACCAGGCTCAATCGTGACGATGTTACCTTGCGAAGTCCTCGCCGCATCATTCAGGTACTGCGCTTCTCCCTCGTGTCTACCTCTCCCACCCCCAGGAATCGAAATCGAAGACTGTGCCTGGGATCCGTAACCATAACCACCCGGCGCATTATACCCTCCCGCGGGATTATACTGCATCACCTCATCCGGCTGCGCATACTCCCACGGCTTCGGGTCCGCATACTTTCGTTCCGCCGGAGGTCCTGGATCGGGATACGCCAACGGATCCGGTTTCGGCACCTTGCCTTGATACCCAGAAGGAGGAGGAGGGCCTGGCTTTGCGGAGACGGTAAAGCTGTGGTGGCCTATACTTGCGGTGAAGCTTGCTCCGCGCTCCTTGCCGTGGTCCTCGTAGCGGCGGGCATCGTGCTCGCTGCCAGGAGGCGCGCCGTACTGATATGTCCCCGCATTGGGTACGTATTTCGAGCTCGAGGGAGGAGCAACAGGAACGCCGTATTCCATGCCTCCTGCGGCTCCTATATAGCTCATATCAGGATAATATTCCTTCCCCCTCCCTATCCCTCCCCCGCCTCTTCCAGCTTCGTACGCCCTCATCCCCTCTCCCTCATCCCCAAAAGCGCCAGGCATGACATACCCCCTCCCGTCGGCCGACGCAGCCCTTTCCCCATCCCTCTCTCCATACTTTTCCAAGCCCGCGTATTCAAATTCCCCTCTCCCTCTCTCATCAACAACGCCTCCCCCTCCCCCTCGACCATCACGATACCCCCTCCTCACACTCTCTCCGCGCGCGCGCGAGCGCGACTTCTCGCGCTCGTCTCGTCGGCCAGGGGATTTCGAGCGGCCTCGGCGGCGCGAAGAGCTGTTTGGATCGAGGGACATGCTTGTAATCGTCGTCGTGGTCGTCGTTATCTTATCGTTCGTTGCGCTGTTGTCGCTGTCACTGTCGCTGTTGCTGTCGCCCTCGCCGTCCTGTAACTTAACTCTCTCTCTATATATATATAAATATATATATATATAGCTACCTAGCTAGCTTGCCAGCAGGCTGCTAAAAAAAGAAAAGAAAAGAAAAAACCCCCCCCTTGACCAAAAGAAGTGAAAAATAGTCAGAGATGCGTGTGCGTGTGCGCGTGCGTGTGCGTATGCGTGTCTAGTTTGAGGGGAGAAAGGGAGGGGGAGAAAAAAAAAGAGGGAGGAGGGACAGCGAGCTCGCTGATCGTCGCTGATCGTCGCTGAGGGACGGAAGGGAGGGTAGGAAAGGCTGGCTGGCTGGCTGGCTAGCTAGCTGGAGCTAACCAACGGAGCAGACCCTCGAGCTGGTGGTTTCCAAGCTCCGTGGCGTCGTAGATGATCGCAAATCGGCCCTCGTTACAGATCCTGTATCACCCCCCGGCCCACACCACAGGCATTCGTGCCACCTAGGTACCTACATAGGTACCGCGATACGTAAATAAATATATTACTAAGTAATAGGATTAAACACAGTTTCTCGGTGAGAGAGACTCCTGAGTAAGCGCGGGGAGTAAGGAATCAAGGGCGGGCTGACTGCTGACCTACTTCATGGTGCGTGCCACCAAGACACCACTGTTCGATTGATTTGCCGGTCATCTCTTACGCAAAGCCAATTGAAGGCTTCCAGTCGTAAGGAGCGGTTAGCAACAGATAATGACTTGCAGAGATTTGCGGTTTGTTTCATACAAAAGGTGTCTTTAACCTCCCAGGATCACGCAAGGGTTTTGTTGATCTACGTACGAAGTACGGACCTTAACATGGTTCGCTGCTTGGCGCAGATGGCGACCACTGTGTGCCACTCAAACATCACAACTCGCAATTCGGAGACAAGTCACACAACGCAAGATCAGTAGGTATTCATAGGTTCATTCAGGCTACTCTCTTCTACCAACGGCCTTCCAATTTAGACGCGAGCATCCGTTGCAACCAATCTTTCTCAGTCTACTCGGACGAACTGCCCAACACCGGGCACGCCGTCTACCAAAACATAAACCACATAAGGTCCTGGCGGAGCCACATTGTAATTTGGGGGACCATTGACTGTCAACGACCCTTGTGCTGACTTGACAATGTCGAGGTTCAACATGCGGTGTCCCATATGAACGGAATGAGTAATGAAACCTCCGTGGTAGAGAACCACCTTGATGTTGTCGGAAGCATGTGGAAGTGTGCAAGTGACTGTGAACTGGCTTCCATCAGCACGTAGCGTCTTGCTTCCCAGCACAATGTTCGTCGGTCGTTGATTGGCCTTGGCTCCTTGGAGATATGGAGGAACATAGTTCTCGACACGCCACTCAGTAACATATGGATTGGCCGCATCGGGTTGGTTCATGGGCATCTCAACTGGGTTCGAGCCAGCAACCATCATTGTACCATCCAAAAGGAGGAGACAGACAGAGTGGTACAAGCGTGGGATAGTCGAGCGAGCGAGCGTGGAGAATCGTTGGCCTAGTGGCTTCGCCGGATCGTAAAGGAGGGCCTCCAACGAAGGATTATTCATCAGACCGAAGCCCTGAGCTCCTCGACTTCCACCATTCATCCAGACAACGGTTCCATCAGGAAGCAGCGTACCTTCAACCATACCGCGTCCCTCTGGCATCGAGTCCATCTCCCATGCAGGGCTCGCACTGAGTGGCTGGATTCGACCACAGCTAGGATCAGTTGGGCTTGTGATATCCTGGTAAGCGCCCCCGCCGCAAATCACAATATCCGGAGCCCAGTTGTTTTTGCTTGATAACGGAAGGAGGACGCTTCCACCGGTGTTAGGGTAGGTACGGTAGTCTCCGGGGAGATCTGGCAGCCCCTTGACGACAGTGTTCGATCCGACATTGAAGACCTGGGATGCCTTCGATACGAAGATAAACAGCGATCCGTCGTTGAGAAGATGAACAAATGGGTACATATAGTAGGGCTGGTTCTTTTTCAAAATTGCCAGTTCAATGTTGACTCCACGACTGACGGCAGTAGGGCTCAGGATTTCGTATGTGGGGTTGTTGTTGGAGAGAACGGTTGGATCAAGACCATTCAAGCTCCCCGAGGCTACGAAAATGGTTCCATCGGGCATGGTCTGCGCACTTGCATACCACCGAGCACTTGCGAGCTTGTTGCCAGGCTCGCTCCAGTACTGGCCGTTGAGGCTTGCATCTGTGGACGATCTCCCAAGGTATCGGATACCTGTGAAGCCATCGCCGATGTTGGGATCTAACCATGTCAAAGGAGCATTACCCCCAAGTGAGACCACGCGTCCGTCGGCAAGGAAAGCTCCGCCAGAACAAAAAGCGTTTGTCACATATCCAAGTGGTACTGCCTTGTTGGTGACTGGGTCGTACTCGGATGACATGGCATAATATCCATTTGCGGTCCTCAGCTGTGTGTAGTTCTCCAGTTTGTCGAGGAAGAAAACACGTCCGTTGGGCATGAGACCAGCGTGCATCGCAGGAACTCCAGCTTGGCCGACAACCGTGAATGATCCTCCATTGGGAGCAGCTGGAGCTGAGCTTGCACCTGGGGCAGCAACGACGGGAGCACTCAGGCATTTGCCAGATTGACATCCAGCACCACAGTGCGCGCTTGTGTTTCCGCTACGTACGGTTAGAAGTGTTTGTTCGGTCAAAGTCAAGGTCTTTCTTACCAAAATCCATACATGGAACAGCAATCATTCCACAAGCTTCCACAGACTGTATTGCCATTCGAAGTTCCGCATGTGCCATCAGTGGTAACGCGAGCGGTTGCAGTGGCTCCAGCTGGCATGGTAGAGCTGACTGGACCGATGACTGGTTCCTGGGAGGTGGTAGGTGAGGCGCTACCTTTGCACCCACTCTGACAGCCGTTCGAAACAAAGCAGTGCCCATCGGAAGATCCGCAGAATCTGGATGAGAGACGGTCAGTACGAACTTAAGCTCAGTGTTCGTTTAACGTGCCCGCATGGAGACTACGATCGATTCCTTCGGACCACATGTCACTCTACCAAACTTGGACCCGCATCGTCCATCACTTCTGAGAGCACTTCCTGACGCAATTGATGATATGGATGTGCTCATGGTCTTGGCGGAGGATAGACTGGGTTTTGATACTGAAATGGGGGTAGATTGACGAAGGAATTTTTAGGAGCTGGCTTGGATGTGGGATATTTTGAAGGAAGATGAAGAGCTGCATATAGGGCGGGTACAGCCACTTTGGCATCCACTCGAAACAAGAAAGTGTTTGGGGTAAGAGCCACAGAAATTTGGGAAGATGATTGGGTAAATGGCAGAGAATGGCATCCAAAGTCGACAAAACAGAGAGACATAACCCCGGAAAAAAAATTATACACACCCGTATTGTGAGCAGCAGCCACCAAATTCACCCTTGGGGTCACACGTCGCACCACCGTATTTCTACAGCTGTCAGCTCTGGCTATTGAAGTGAGGAAACGACACTCACAGCACCACATTGTCCATCGCCTCGAGGGGCAACCGGCGCAGGGCAGCCAGAGATACAGCCAGTACCACAATAACTAAGAGGTTAGCTGAAAATCCGAGTCTTTGCACCGCAACTCACTCAGCAGTATTTCCACACCAGCCATATTGCTGCCAAAGTTAGCCAAGCCATATACTCCGATATATCCAGCCTACCGAGCAGCATCCACCGATATAAGCCTTGCTGTTAGGGTCGCAGATTGTGTTTCCATTCTTTGGACCACAAGAACCGTCTTTCGAGTACAGGACATCTCTGACTTGAATGCCCTGGATTACAATCGTCGGAACGCATCTGCCATCGTCAGCCTCTTCTCTACCAAGGGTTAAAGAACCTACTGTCCAACCTCATTGCACTCCTGGCCACGGAGACAGCCGTGGTACATGCGTGGATCAGTCAAGTTGCAGCTGAGCGGGACATGGGTGAAGATGATATTCGCCGACACAGAGGCCGCGAAGCCGAGAATAAGAGAATTAGCCCTCATGGTGTCGAGTTTTGAAAATTTCTAGGCTGGAGACAATAGTCAATTGAGATTTCAAGAATTGCAAATGTTCATGTGCGCTGCTAAAGATTTATTGAACCGAGAAGTTTGTTTGTGTTTGTGCCGTTGCTGGTAGGACGGCGAGGTTGACGGGAGGCTGCATGATGCCGTGTTGGGTTGAGGACTTACGGTAAGGGGTTTTACTCGTATTAGGGAGGAGAAGTGAGATACGCGTTGATCGAGGGGATTCAGCGCGATGAAAGGTTCTTAGGTTTTCAGGAGTTCGTAAAAAGAGTAGAGAATAGAAGGAGAAACTGTAACGACTGTGGGTTAGGAGAGAGTAGAGAGACGCGATGACAAGGCCGAAGCCTCAGCCTCGAAAGGGGCAACAGATAGATGGAGTGAGGAATACGGAGTTGTGAGATGGAGTTGGAGGGAAGGGAAAGAAGTGCGAGACGAGGCGAAGTGACTGGTTATATCTGTCTTGTTACACTTTACAAATGGCAGCCACCAAACGGGAAGGGAGCGGCAAGAGAGAAACCACGAACACCACGGCATGATCAAGTGTTTCGACCTATATCATTTTTATACACACCGCCACATTCTCGAGATAGAATGACGCAAAGGTAACGATTCAGAAGTCGGTAGCGATGAAAGGCCAGATATTGTCTTCTTGGTTGACGCAGGTACATGAGCCCGTCTTGTTGGCTGAAGGTCCAAGCAAATTGAGGGCGACAAGTAGGGAAAGGGAGTTCGATCAAGGGTCCGAGGGACAATCATTGGGTCCGAAGAAAAGTTTTGTAAAAGGAATGATCTCTGCTACCTCCTTTTGAAAGTGTTGTGCTTTCAGGGATCTCAATCCACTGCAGCCAGAGCCAGAGATCTGAATCTAATATCCAATCTCCCAAGGCCAGCTCTTCCGCAGCTATACTTAGGTAACTAATGAATGGAGAGATGGAGAGCCACAGAAATGCAACTAGGTGAGCATATTCGGATGATCTCCACCATAGTACACCAAGACAAGCTTCCACGAGACGTTTGGACAGCTGCCAGACCCGAGAGATGGGATGAAGCAAATCCACACCCAGACGTTATGCACGATCTTAATGTATCGTCAAGAGCTTGGGCTAGATGACAGCTTGTCCATATGGAGGATCCGAGCGACATCGACAGCGTCAATTTCCTTCCCGTCACATCGAAGGACCTCTTCTCGAGTCCATATATCGTCCGGCACCGACGCCTCTCTGCTTCTCAAATCCCTCACATCCGGTGTGATCTCGGCATCTCGTAGAACGAGTATACCTTCGTTCTTAGAGATTAAGGTCTTTGTCGGCTCTTCTCCCATGTTGGAGAGTCCATAGCCCTCGACACCTTCAATTGGTCGCTCGCCCGTTTTGATCCGTAGCCAGGGACACTCTCACCAAGCCAAATCCTTCTTCTGAATCCCCATAGCCTTCGCCATGCCTGCCGCAACGGCCTCGCTCTCCATCTCCCCCTTACCCACCGTCTTCGACATTGCCCCCTTCTTCTTCTCACCCATCACCTCCTCCTCTCCACCCTCTCCATCCAATATCCCCAAATCCAGCCCCCATCTCCTAACCTCCTCCGCTACCAACCCCTCCCACTTTCTCACGAGCGGGTGCGCACCCGCCACATCGCTGAAAACCACCTCGCTTCCCTCCTTTCCGTCCCCCGGCACCTCGAACCGCCACACCCCATCCTCCCCCCAAAACTCCCTCCCAAAAACGACTTCGGTCCTCAACTCCCCTCTCGCCTCATCAAACTGCCTCTCCACCCGCACCCTCTCAGCCTCCATCTCCTTGCCTATCTCCTTCCCCTTCACACCCGCCAATATGCCCTCTAGCATGCCGAGAATCTTGCCAATGCGCAAACCCAACACAGCGCCCAGCGCGTACCCCTCATCAAACCCAGCCTGCACGCTCTCCCCCTTCCCCTTCGTGACCCCGTCCCGATAGCCCTCCGTCTCATGCTTCTCCCTCAATCGCGGGATGTCAGACGGCTCGAAGTTGCCCTGCGCTGCTGCGGGGTGGGAAGGCGAAGGAGGCGCGGATCCAAAAACATCGTCGAGATCATCGTTCACGAAGTTCTCCCCCGCGAAAGCAATGTCGTCGTCCATTGTATCTGCGGCTGTGAAGCTGGATCCAGGGGGTACGTCTTCGCGCTGCAACATTTCGTTTGCGGTGTCTGTTGGACAAATCAGGAGAAGGGTGGTTGAAAGAAAGAAAGATGCGCATCAAAATATTTTCACGTTCGAAAACGGGCGTCGGGCTACCCCTCCATGCCCATGGTCCCCCCCCACCACTTACTTAATCTGCCCCTCCCCGGCGCTTTGCGCCTTGAGAGGACTACCGGTACCGGTATGGGCGCAATCCTACCCATACCCAGCAACACGACCTAGAAGCTGCACCCAAATAGATCTCTTCCCATCCGAATACCATACAAACCACAATAATTACCTCCTCCTCCTCCTCCTCCTCTAGACGTTCCTCCCCCCTAGACACGCAAACGGCCGATCGGATCAGAAAGTCCTGAAGAGTCCCCTCCCCCTCCCCTCCCCTCCCCTCGCCCCGCCCCGCCCTCCCTCCCCCATAGCACGCCCGCCTCTCCGATGCCCGTCTCCGTAAACCCTCGCCCCGCCCTGTCCACCCGCCCGCCCGCTCGCTTGTCGCTGTCGCTCTTCGTCGAAAGCAAACAAACGGGCTCATAGCAGCCCCATCGCCCGCCCTCGACATCAAAAGAGAAAGACGGAAGGGAGGGCGAGAGGGTCGGCCTCGGTGGCTCAGTCGATCACCGTCTCGGTAGAGCAGTGGTTTAGCTTGTCTGCTTCCCATGATCCATGTGAGATAGCAGGAGACACGGGTTCGAATCCCGTCCGGGACAAACATTTTTTTTTTTCTTTTTTTTTCCCCTTCTTCCCTATTTGAGCGCGCGACGGAGTTTATTCTACTGGTGTTTTTTTTTTTTTCTTAATTTAGGGGCGGAGAGGGAGGGGGGGGGGGAGTTGTTTTATGTGGTTTGTTTTTGTTTTTGTTTTTGCTCATGGAAGTTGAAGTCGTTGGTTGTTCGGTGGAGGGAAGATTCACGGGGGGATTTCGGCTGGTTACTTAAGCGAGTGGTTTGTTTTGTTTTGTTTTCCGTTCTTCTCAACGGGGCCTCGGTTTGTTAATCAGGAGTCAAGGAGAGTGGGAAAGATTCTTCGTAAGGGCGGCTATCAGGGCTGATGATATGGACTTCATGAACCCTGCTCTAATAGCACTTTCTTCGGGTATTAATGTTCCGCGAGGCTGGATTTTCTGAAGAAAGTACTCGTTCAAGCTGAACCACGCTCGACGTTCTCTCTTCTAGGCAGCGCCTTGGACGTCTCACCTTCCAAGTAGGACCACCGAGGAGGATTCTCGCCTTTCTATCTACAATTCAAGACTCGACTCCCGCCTTCCACCGCACCCGCTCCCACGATTCGAAGATGCTGGATAGCATCCACTCCGCAAACTCAAGCCTGCCCTAAGCACTCGTCGATTCGTGCCTGAGCCAGTCTCGTGAGCGCCCTAGCAGCCCATCTCGCGAGCTGCATCCCAAACATCGACTTCGAGCCCCGTTAGAATCCCATGTTCCTCGGCGCGCATCTGGAAGCCTACGCCACTTCTCGATACAGCCTTTAAATTGCGCTCGCTCGTCTCTTGAACTAAGTAACTGCCCAAGCTCCACAACCACAACTGAGGCTCCCGATCTGACCATCATCCTTTCAAGCCGAACTAGGAACCCTCCATCCGCTCTTGGGGTCTGCCAGAACTACCCTATCGCGTCTTGTCGATCATAAGTCTCGTCCTCGCAAGCGGGAGGCTAGGCACAGCACACACACGAGCTTTTTCGCGTCCGGAATCGAGATCATGCCATCACATACCTCGTCGCCAACGCGCCACTTGATTGCGGACCAGGCGTCAAGAACCCGTTGTCCAAGGGAGTCGCGATCTTTTGGCTGGTGGAGAAGTACTTGCGTGTCGTACTTTGATTCTCGACGGCATCTCAAAGCAACGACGCTCTCGAGCGGTGATAAGCTATCCAGGACATTCTTAACGCGTCCTCGACTCCGCCTAGTACGTACCAGAATCCCAAGCTCACCAAGTAAGAGACATGGCGCGCATTGATTACCTACGGGCCGGCGAAAGTCGGGCGTCCTGTTATACATAGGCTGAGGTATATCGGTAGCGGCCAGCGGCACTGTCCAGTCGGGCATCCATGAAGGGCAACAAGTACGTACACGAGACCGTGCCTCAAGCTCTCAATCCTGTAAATCGCAGAGTTTCCTAGGGCCCGACAGGCAGCGAGCGGAGTACACTCGCCACATCCATACAACCATCCTCCCAAGAGGCTTACTATGTGTAGGTAGTCACGACGTATACATTAAGCCAGGCGAGTTCGGCAGGCCGGCAGGCATGCGCTGCGTCGGTCTTGCCATATACCGCAAGGTGCGAACAGCATGCCTGTCCCTCGGGTCGCGGCCGAGACTCCTAGCCCGCGCCGCGACGGCGGAATATCGAGGAGTTCCTGGCGCGAGGTTTCAAGGCTCGCTCGCTCGCTCTCGTTGCGGCGCGGCCGGTGATGAACCGGTGGCGTAGGCAGGCTTTTGCCGATCCTGCCAAAGGTTGGAGTTTGGGAGAGAGGGTTGGGTCGAGTGAGTGAGTGCGGTCTTCTTCGCAGGCTACATCTTTCGCTGCCATTCCATGCATGGGATGCGAATACGATACCCTGCACCGCAAAACGTCCATTTCCCATTCGAACCTCCCACTTGAGCCCACGGGTTGCCGGATCCCCCGAGTTCCTAGCGCACCCAGACTCACCTGGACCAAGGCCGTGGCAATCTCTGATATTTATCTTTCTGGTGATAATCGCCGGCTCTGAAACATGGTGACCGTCTGGATGGATCGAGCGGGGTCCCGATGCCGCTACTTGGCTGGCTCCGCGAGTTCTGCACGTTGTTGGACTCCGTGTTCCTGGCACGCGCCCGTCTTGCGTGGGAGAATCCCGCGCACGAAAAACAGGGCTTGGATTCCTCGTGAGGCTTCCCATCAGGTAGTAGTAAAAACGATTGTATTTTTCACAATGTGATAGCTAGCCCCGACTAACTGGATCTGGGAGCGCAATCTAATACCGGTACGTAGATCGTATTAGTTTGACTTGGGAGACACAACGTCCATCAGCCTAAATCTTAGTGCTTTGTGTGGAGTGACGCACATGGCGCAGAGCTGAATCCAGATGCCAGAATGGCTGCAGTCGATCATTCTTTTTCCATCGATATACCTACCTACCTACCTACACAGTACTGTCTGGCCATCATCTCCTGCTTAAATCATCCTACATGTATGGAAGGGCTGTCTGATGATCTCGGATAGAGAGGTACGGTATCGTAATGAATGCGAGTGGAGTGAAAGCTGCTTTGTAAAACAGGAGACTCGATAGGCGCGGCGGTACGGGAGTGGGGTCGGAAAACTTAACCGCTGTACCCCCCCTCTTCCCCCCACCCGTAAGTGAGTCCAGAGCAGTGCCGGCATCAAGACCTGGTGATTTCACTCGCTTAGCATACTCTGGATTGTACAGTAGAAAGCAGCGTGATGATTCCCGTAGAAGCAACTTCGTTAAATGCACTCACTACTAGCTGCATCCGGAGGTAACTCGGGGCTCAAACGCCCCAAGCGGGGCTTGTATGTACATAGTAGTAGTAGTACTACGTAGTAGATTAACCAAAACGGTCAAGGTCACTATGTTTTTTCGTTAATCAATGAACGAAAAAGTTAGGGGATCGAAGACGATCGGATACCGTACCGTCGTAGCATCAAAATTCTGGTGCAGAATAGATATCCGAAGCCGTGACTCGGGATTACTACGTCCCTCGGCTCTCAAGATTTGAAGCCGAAAGGAGCCGCTCCGAAAATGCGAAGCAGACAATGCTGCAAGCACGCAACTCCGTACCCGTTCCGAAACACAATTCTTCCAGAAGATTGCAGAAAGATCGGCACACAGACCCATCCCGGTAGCGAATCTACTCCGGAGACACTACGTATAGAGGACGACGTACCGTACTTGGTGGTTTGTAGTTCTCAATACGGTTTCATTGGCGTCCTCGATAGGGAAAGGGGGAAAGCAGCGATAAGAGGGGTAACCAGCGTTCAGGAAAGCCCAGCCGAAGCGCAGCAGGCAAGGATGGCCTTTCTTGGACGGGGCTACACACCAACCAGCTACCGGGAGGTATTCACGTTTCTGATACTACTCCCCCCCCCCCCCCATGAATACTTCATGTCGAAAGTCTAGTCTGGCAAGGGCTCTTACTTCTAGTAGGGCTTAAATCAATCAAACTTACGCTGTACAAGATTTCAGCCTTGAAAAGTACGTAGTACTACCTAGTACTACCTAGTACTACGTACCTTTGGGCCAGTATTTAGTCTGTGCAATTGAGTTGACCGGGCGCGGAGCCATTCAGAGAGCACCGCTTTGCGATTTGTGGGCCGGAACTGGGTCCGACGTTTATTTATGGGAGGGAATAGTGTTCCCCCCTCTAAATATACCTCCGTACGTTTTCAGAAATTCTCGGACCCATTTGCGGCCCATAAATCGTAGAGCGGTGGTTCCTGAGTGGCTCAAAGCCCGGTCAACTCTGCTGCACAGACTAAATCGTAAATACTCGTTCAAACACTATTCTCTTCAAAGTCTGAATCGTTCTGAGTTTATTGGTTTGAGCCCTGGTGTGAGCCCTTGCAAAATTTTATACTACTAGTTTCGCCTCTTATTGAGGGGAGGGATGGTGGTACTACGTACGTACTACTACTGTACATCTCAACAATCAAGGCAAAACTGGACCGATAAAAGGGGGGGGGGGATATTCGTGTTTGGACCGCCAAGAGCCATTGCGCAGGCAAAGAGTTTTCAAAGGTGGTGGATACACATTCTTCACAGCCGAAGTTGATGCCTGAAGGTGGACCAGCGAATCATAAGCGAGCGGTAAAAGGATACTTGGGAATCGCAAATAGCAACAGAGGAGCAACGAGTGACGACGATGGAGGGTAGGTGCCGGTACGTACGTAGTACAGTACTTTGACCTGCCTTTAGGTTTTGGCTCCGTATACCTCCGTACACAGTATGGATCCACCCTCTTCAAGTACAGTGCAGTGGGATTGTGTTCACGCCATAAGCTTTGCACAGCCTAGACTCCTGAGAGACGACTCCCGAAGCTCGAATAACCCAGGCAGGCAGATCCAAGCCAGCATGGAGAGCACCATGAGTGGTCCACCAGGTCCTGCTCGAACCAGCGAACATCAGGATTGACGACAACGTTGCCAAAAGAGAAAGCGAAACAAATCTGAAGTCCACCAGACTGCCACTCACAGTGCCGAGCCCTGCCTTCAAAAGTCAAAAGCCGAGATGCAAACTCTGCCATCCCGAAATCAAGGCCGCGAACCCACTTTTTGGAGTTTCCAACGACTTGGCTGCTTCCGCCGCGTGCGGCGCAACAAGGCAAAGTCAATAATCAGTAAAGGTATTCCCTACAGAGGCAGGGTAGCTACTGGACGGGCTGTGCACGGGTTCTGATTCTGGCATCTCAAGCAGCATCTCGTCTGCTCTATGACGCTGCCAGATCCGGACTTTTCTGCGTATAGTATGTCTTCGGGCCAGGTTCTTCCACACCACATCGAGCTGTCCAGTACTCTGTAACCGGAACTAATCACCGTTTACGCTTGCTCTCCTCCAGATAAAGGTCGTCCTTCTCTCGAGAGCGGTATACCAAGTATACTGTCGTACCTGCTTATTTCAATGCCAGAGTCCCCACTTTACCCGTCAGATTTAAGTTTCCGAGGAACTTTCGGAGGGCTGGTTGTCTCAGGAACTGGACATCCCATGTCCAATCCCTGATTCAAGAGCCCGTCCCTGGCTTGTTTTTCCCTCGCTGAACTCCGTATAAAGACACATAAACAGCGCCTCCGTTCCTTTCTCGCCCACGCACAAGTTTCATCTCTTCGATTGCCACATAACGATCGTTACCTAAACCAAAACTTCAGCTCGATACTCAACCCCTATCGACAACACATACTCCCCCAACCACGGTCACTTCAACCAACACCACAAGCCAAAATGCAGTTCTCAATCGTCGTCATGGCAGCTCTTGCCAGCCTGGCTTCAGCCCAGAGCATGGACGGCATCCCAACCTGCGCAGTACGTCCTCCCTCCCTCCAAACCCGCCACCACCCATCCCCCGACACAAACTAACAGACACCAACAGCTCCAATGTCTCGCCCAAGCCGTCGTAACAGGCGGATGCGAGGCCTCCGACCAGGCCTGCCAATGCGGTCCTGCCCGGGAAGCCATCACCGCCGCTGCCACCCCCTGTCTCCTCAGCGCCTGTACCGACGCTGCTGATCTCGCCACGGCAGCCTCAGTGGGCAACGGCATGTGTGATAAGTACAAGATGGGCGGCGATGACGCTGCTCCTTCCCCATCAGTGAATACACCGGCGGCAGCTGCGCCCTACCCTACTGCGCCTGCTCCGAACGGCACCGTACCCATTGGTACTGCCGCTGCCCCATCACCTACCGCCAACACGAACGAGACGACTACCGTCGCGACCGGAAGCGCTCCCCAGAATGTTGCGGGTGGATTGGCAGGAATCTTCGGATTGGTGGTGGCAGCTGCTTTCGCTCTGTAGGAGATATACCGAGTCGAAGTGAATGAGGCGACAGGGGAGTAATGAGAATTAGGATAAAGGATAAAAGGCTTTGTATATTTTCTCAGGGTGGAGGATTTGTAATTAGCTCGAGAGTAACCTTCTGGCAGGCTTGCTGACGGCTGTGGTTAATGAATTATGCTTCATTGCCTCAAACACTATGACCCTGGTCCTCTTGCCTCATGACCCATCCCCTCTTCGCACCGTAGTGCTCAATCTACCTTATCTACCACGGCAGTTCCAAAGGGGTCGGAAGGTCTTTGCCGATGGTCACGTCGGCAGTCCCAATATCCCCTACACCAATTAGCCTCATTAAACTTGCTCACGCCCCTAGAGTTCTGTAAGAGAAAGTAACTCACTCGCTCCCCTCGGCGCCCAATACTGTCCGCTCTTGCTCATATCGAGCTTTCCCACCCACTCGATCAGAGTCTGTGCCGCCTCTTCGGGCGTGACAGCACCACCGTCGTCCCAATACTTGTCAAAGCCCACCCCAGCCGTCATCTCCGTCCTCATGAACCCCGGATGGACCATGCTGATGACAACGCCTTTCTCTTTCAGGTCCATGCTGAGAAGCTTGCCCACCATGTTGAGAGCGGTTTTGCTAGCGTGGTGCGCGTAGTTGCCTCCACCCTCTTTCTCGTGGCGCAGCGTAATGGATCCCGATTCCGAGGATACCAGGATGACTTTCGAGCCGGAAGGGAGGTACTTTGCGCGATAGAGAGAATGCACTATGAAGGGCGGGGAGATGGCAGACGTCTAGCGAACGAGAGGTTGGTCGAGTTAGCCCGGGACATCATTATCCCCCAGAGAATCCAAGACCGGTAATGCAAACAAATACCGACCGTGTACATCTTCACCTCCTCCTCCCACTTCGGCCCACTCGCAAAGTCCTCGGTAGCGAAGAACCCCGCCGTAACGATCTGCCCACTCCATCTTCAGCATCCGTATTACGAAAACGCGGTTGCCCATCACCCTCGGCCGGAATCTGTATGCAGGCCTGACCGGGACCTACCACGATATCGAATCCCTTGACCCCTCCCGCGGTCATGCCCCCTCCGCCTCCCAGAGATCCCAGCTGGTTGACCAGTCTGGCACCTACCCCCTCTTGGGACACGTCCACGCTCTTGACCCAGATGATTTTCTCGTCTAGGCCCGTCGGCGCTGCGTTTTGCCTCGTCGTACCGAAGACGGTCGTATCTTCCTGCGCTGCATACGCGTTTGCAAGACTGGCGCCCAGGCCGCGCGTTGCGCCGATGATTAGGATATTTGGCATTGTATCCGTACGATGGGAAAGAATGTTGGATGTGTTGGATGTTGGATGTGTGAATTAGAGAGGAAAAACGTTCCGTTTGTGATGCGTCTGATCTCGTGCAGCTTAGCTCAGTGAGGGGTATTTTCTAAAGAGGGGCATTTTCAGAGACTGGAAGGTGTATCTTGAATGCTGCTGATAGGGTTTGTTCCTGCAAGTCGGAAGGCTGCACTATAGGCTAATTTCGCCAAAACAAGTGGGGTCGTCCAGGTCGGAAGTCAACAAACCAACAACAACCAACTACCTTCTTACTCAATACTTGTTGCACACGACATGCGATGTTACTTGATTCACGAACATTCGTGTATGGTTTTCTTTGAATTCCATGTGCTCAATCGGGAATCGCACCTTCGAATACATTGTCTCCTTTCCATACAACCATTCCATTTGGCTAGGCGTCAGTGAGCAAGTATTTCCAAGCGACGCGGATGCTGACTCCTAATAGGTAATTGTTCTAGACCGCTTCTATTCAACGTAGATACAAACTAGGCGTATTGGATGTACAGAAATTTACAATTCCTGAGCATTTCACCAATCATGTATTCTGTCCGTTATACATCTTAGCGTTGCGGAAATTCCGAGCTGGATGTAGCAAGTTAGCATCTACCACGACTCGCTCGTGAGACCATGGGGCAATCGCAACGGGTAGCTGAAAGAACAGGGGTCAGCTACGTCCTATGTAAGAGACGATGGTTCCAACTTCATTAACATTTTTGCTTGTATCCGTACCATGTAAGCTTCCAGAATGGTAGGCTTAAGAAGAATGCTGAACATCTGCAGGTGGTATGCTACCCAGTACGAGGATATAAAGACACTTATCATCCCAAGAGATATATTAAAGACTGCAACGTCATGAGCTAGTCCTCAAGTCACGTTTCCAACTATCTGCTGACATGTCGCAGCTGGCATCAGTCAAGCTGGACCACCGACTCTTCTCGTCGCTTTTCTTTTTTTTTAATTCACAGCTCCCGATGAGTTTCTGGCAAACGCTCTAGGACTCGCTTTCTCCGCCCGCGCGATCGGTCGCACTTTCGGATCCGCAACTGTGAACGAAAGCATCAACAACAAACTGGCTTCCACCCTCGCAATCAAAGTCAGCGAGGCAGCTATCGAAGTAGGGCTTCCAACCTTGTCTTTCCCTCCTCTGTTCCAAGCCATGGCCACTAGGGATCCCACAGCTTTTGCTGCTGTAGTTGGACTCCACCCGCAGATCCTGGGTGCTGCGATAGACGCCAGTCAACCCGAAGGCTTCGTAGCTGCGTAGTGACACGTCAAGCGACACCCAATATTCTCAGCGTAGGTTCATGACCTTTAAACCCTTTCCGCGAAAAGACCTCCTTCTATAAAAAGAAAGAGCAGCTACGTGCGCATACTTGGATTCTCATGTTCCTCAACCAAACTCGACCAGGACGAGAGCATAGTAGGACTTAGGACCTGCAAATTTAATCGCTCAATGCTCTTGACGATGAGGGTTGGACGGCTACTTATCTGGGGCCCCGCAGTGGTCCCATGGCCAGATTAGCATGGCACTCAAGTTACTGACTTGACTAGACGTCTGTACGATGATGTTGATGTATTTCCTTATTAGTGGAAGCTAGGTGAAATATCCCGGAACTAAACAGTGAAAGGGATCGATAATACCCCAAGCGAAATCACTAGTTTTCGTCGATACGTTTACATCTTGGACCTCTGGTCGATGGAGCGACGACACACGAGTAAATAAAAGAAAACGCGACTCACTAACAGCTTCTTTGCTAAGCTTTTTAAGAGGGCAACTCGTCAGTTGTATACTGGGCTCATCTGTTGTTCGCTAAGCACTGTATGCTTTCCATATTACGGGGGGGCTCTTCCCGCCCAAAGCCTCTGGGCTAGCCTTGGCATTAACCGAGCTAGTGAACGTCGAACTAGAGAATGTTAGTGAGCACTTGATGAGCTAAAGTGAGCGATTGATGACCTAGATTGAGCAGTTGGCAAGGTTGTTCCTGCCTGTAAACCAGCCCCATGCACGAGTCGCACAAAGAAAAGAAACAAACTACAGATCTCTAAAACTATTTCCATACATAGCTTTTTCTTCCCTGACAGCCCAGCTCTATACCATCCGCATTATCTCCTTCTATATTCTTCTCGATCAGCGGCATATTAAAAAGTAAAAAAAGATTCCCGGCCCATTACATTCTCCACAAATTTCATGGCTCAACCATGGGACGAGACGCCATGTCCCATGGCTTGGAATATCGAGATCCAGGGGAGGTGCCAAATCGAGGGCTGGTGTGACCCCCGCTGTTCATTATGCCGCAGGCTTGAACAACTGGGCTTGAGATGTGAGTCCTGCATATGCATGGTCGCCACGGCCCTCCGGTGGAAGAGGTGGTTGACGATATTGATTTTCCGCTAGATGGGTTTCTCTCCTGGCCACGAGGGATGGAACGCTCGCTTTCGAACTTGACAAGAGAGTGTTGGAGTGACTGTCCCCCAATCGATATCAACGAGCTACCCTTGGACCTGAAGCACCTCCTCCTGCGGTTCATGTTGGTATCGGAAGAGCCCATCACCAACCCGTTCTTGCAAGACACCGACACCTCTTACGGCCGGATCAAGTATGGGTGGTCTAAGTACATGCGACCGAACATCCTCGCGACGAACAAAGAGTTCTATGAGATCGGGATGAAGATGCTCTATGGCTACAACACCTTCAGGTTCACCAGACTGGTTGCTCAGGCCCCTCCGGAATACTGGCGTGGCGGGATGGAAAGCGTAGGCAGATTCCTGGAGCGCGAGCACCGATTGATGCTCGACCCGGGCAAGAAAACCATTCGGCGCTCGCAATTGATCAAAAATTTCATCATCAGCGACTCGGATCTCGAGCGCGACGAGCACGCCAAGCGGGGCATCGCGCGCAAGCCCCGGGCCGACCCAGCCGGGGACCAGACGCGCTACATGCTGTGGTATCTCTGGAAGCTAGTGCGGTACGGGTGCGACCTGCACAACCTCACCATCACGGCGGACGCGGACAGTCCGGCCACCCTCGCCACTCTCGAGCACGAGGCCGGCCGGGTGGGATACCATCAGCTGAGCGGCGACGGGCAGTCCCGGTGGGTCAAGTCGGAAGCGGCGCGCGCGCGCAACCACGCGCACTGGACCGCGTTCCGCAAGCACTGGACGGACGAAGGGTTGCGCGTCGCCCACGTCCATGTGCGCGGGGCGGATGCCTTCGCGGGCGGCCGGATGGCGTTCGCGCCCGAGATGCGCGAGGCGGCCACGGGCATCTGGAGTGCTAAGCCCTTGCCTACGAGTAGCGTTGCGATGGCCGTCACCGGCTTCTTTGAGCATATGTTTACGGCTGGGTTTGTGCTGAATCGGCCGATCATCTCGTTCTCGGGTAGGTTCACACAGCGGTGGCCAGGAGACGAAGCCGAAGACGAAGCCGAAGACGAAGACGGGATTTGGTCGGAAACTGATGGCGGACCTGGTGCGAGCGCTGGTTGATGTTATGTGTGAGCGAAGATGACCGGGCGAAGAGAACATGGAGGTTGATGATGTGGATGAAGGGGGGAGCAGCGGGGGGCATACACTCAAAAGCTGCTCAAGCCTTAAGCAGCTAGCTAGCTACAGTACCTAGGTAAGTACCGGTACTATGTAGACAATTAAGCGAAAAAGTTAGCGAAAATCAATATCATCTTCACTTGGCATCATCTCTTCTTTTCTTAACTCTTGACTCAACCCCTTTTTCTTTCTTCTAGTCCTCGTGCTCCTCCTCCTCCTACTCTCTTCTATATCTAGCCAACCTGGCAGGTGAACTAGCTAGCGAGTCGGATGATCTCGAGGTGATGCACGCAGGGGAATTGGATGTTACTACTAAAAGTTGGACTGGACTGCAGTCAGTAGTGATGATGATGGCCTTACTATCCGCCCCTCCCCCCCCCCCCCCCACGAATACACGCCGGACGCAGTCTAGGCCCATAGATCGTAGAGCGGTGGTTTCTGAATGGCTCAAAGTCCTGTCAGCTCGACTGCACAGACTAAATCCTGACCTAGGTACTTGTAGAGATACTTTTCCAGGCTGGATTCTTAAACTGTGCGTACAGTAGTACGTAGTACGGTAAAGTTATTCATTGGTTAAAGCCCTGGTACGATACCGGTAGATACTGCTGTACTTCGAAGATCCCTTGCAAAACTATACTTTCGACATGTATTCATGGAGTGGGGGTGGAGTGAGGGGGGGGAGTACCTTCTTACCTTACCCAACCCAGTCGACATCACTCGCTCAACAGCCAAATAGTATACCGATACGGTAAACGCCTGCATGGCGGAGGGGGAGGTATCGCGCTATACGTGCAGTGCAGTACAGTAGCAGAATGCATTGAGAGTCGCCGGGGCCCAGTGTTGGAGGGAGGGCATGTGGCGCGAGAGGCGATGCGCGCACGGGGATCCGTTCCGTGCTGCTCGAGCAAAGCCACAGCCAGAGCGCTACCATGCCTCTTGTGGATATATGGACTGTCGGTCGGCGCATGCGCAGTGAGGAGATGCGCGAGGGGTCTGTTGTCTACCTAGGTAGGTACTACCTAGATATTAAGCGCATGGTCCTCAGCGGTAACCCGGGGGCCTGGATTAGACTGTCTGATAGAAGGAAAAAAAAAGAAAAAAAAAGAGGTGGGGGGGGAGGGCGTCGCAATGCTTGTTGTTGAGCTACATTAGGGCAGAGATTTTGTCAGGATAAACAGGTGGTCGATTGGCCCACGTGACGGGCAAGAGCTCAGTTGCAAGAGAGACCGAGAAGCATTCCATTCCATTCCAGAGTGATCACATCACACTTGAGAGCATTCCGCGTGGACCGGGAAGGAAGCATGGATGGCCGAGCAGGCTACTACAAGCTATGGAAGCAGCAGCTACGGGGCCAGCGCCTCCTCAAGGTCTTTCCGTTCCCTGTGGAAGCCATAAAACATTATTCCATCAAGCCAGCTCTTTTGCGACAAGCCGCTGTTCCGAAATTCGACAACATCTCTAAAATTCATTCGCTCATACTAAACATCATTTCCGCATCCGATTAGTCGATTTGACAGCCCGCAGATCTTCAGTCGAGAGGTTGATTGTCGTCACCAGCAGGGTGCAATTCCACCTCTCACTACCGGTCCAAGAATCCTACCGGAGATGCCTACCAAACCCGCAAAGGCTATGACTCTGCACAGTCGTCTGAAAAGGGATCGAGCATTGGAGGAAAGGTATGGGCAACGTCCGTACATGGGACAAGTATATAGTTGGATGATGAAAGCCCCTTGCGGACCAGAATTCGGACCGCCCGTGCGATTAGAAAGGATCAGAGGAGACAGCTCAAAACGGCGGGCGTTGCTTCTAGGAGACGGGCAGATGCAAGAGTCCATGGGCGACCAAGTCTGCATAGGGGCACTGGACATACATGATCGCAAGCCTCTCGAAGCTCTCGAGGAAGCCCTGGATTGGTTCCCGGTCGAACGCCACAATGTCGTGCTCACGGTGGCATTCATCAAGGCGACGGCAGTTCCCTTTGAAAGGCGATCTCCCAGAGAGCACGCGGTCGTGGCATTGTACTCGCACTCGGGATTGTCCTTGGATGTGGTGATGAAGTTCGAGGATGGCAAGGCCACGCTGGCTGAGCTGGAGAGGGCTCCTCGACTGCCAGAGATCCACAGCAGAAGTCGCTCGGAGTCGGAGAAGGCAGACCTACCGGTACGCAGAGATTTTGAACAAGGGGCCTGCGCCTCCGGTTCGAAGCAGCCGAGACCAGGTAGTGGCCGGCCGTTGAAAAATGCGCAAGGTTTCGGGGACATTGGACTCATATGCATCCCGATTCCCGGACGATGTTGACGGTGAGAGCAACACAATTTCTTCCATGGGACATTTGGCCGGGGTTTCCACTTTCCAGCCACCAACCAACTCGACTGCCAGCGCTATGAGCCGTGCTCACCCTCACACATTAGTTTTTCTTATGAGCTCTGCCCGGTCGGTCATCTATTCCCTGTGCTCCCATTCGCTCCCTCCAACGTCTATTTGGAGAATCCGAGATTATCATCTTGGCCACTTCTTGTCAGTTCCTGGATGAAATGCCCGAAGTCCGACACCACAACGCTAAACGGCTTGCGGGCTCATTACTTAATCCTTCAGCCTTCAGGACCAGAGGTGCGCGGGCCAAGCATGGTAAGTTGAGGCCTGTAAGTTTTACAATTATTACTATACGATAGGTTTTGTTCTAAATGGGATGTGCGATGAAGCGTTATATTTGTATTATTAGTAGTAAGTTGTATTTGTGTGTTGGCGGGTGGATCCAAGCGGCGGCAATGCAGACTGTGCAGTGCAGCGGTTTGGCGATCGGAAGCCCCTGACTAGACCTATCTGAGCCCCCGTCACCGAAGCGAGCGCCATCAGATACCCCTGAGGTACCCCTTTTTAGAGAAAATACGATTCTTCCAATTTCTTTTAGATGAAGATGCATCGATCCAAGCATCTAATCATCAAATTCATCAAAAATATGCACGGGGGGGGGTCTAATTTAAGCCCGGAGCCACGGACTAGTGTGATCACCTGACCCTAATGTCAGGAGGGTATAAGATACATGTTGAACCCATTCCACAACCTATCTTTTCCTCCCAAGCCAAACACTTCAGACACACTCGTTTTAAGGTTCTTTGATTCAGTTGCACTCTCTATTCACTCACTTAATTATTCTTTTGAGAAAACTTCCTCTATCAAAGACCAATCAACCCACCCAACCATCAAAATGAGATCCTCCGTCCTCTTTTTGGCTGTCGCCGCCGCCTCTGTCCAGGCCGGATACTCCATGAATCCCCCTCCCCCCCCTTCTCCCGGCTACCCGGTAAATATTCCTCAGCTTACCACCTTTTGTGACTTCCCTACTGACGCTTCTCTGTCTTCCAGGTCGATGCTCCTCCTGCCCCGGAGACCCCAACCCCCCCTGAGGCTCCCGTTGTCCATGAGCCCCCCAAGGGATACGAGCCTGAGCCCCCCAAGGGCTACGTTCCTTCCAGCGTCGAGCCTCCGGTCGAGGCGAAGACCTACCCTGCTGGCATGCCTGAGGTCACTCCTCCTCCTTATGCGCCCGAGAACGTTGCCTCCACCGTCTACGAGACCAAGGAGTACACCGTGACGGCTTGCCCTCCAACCGTCGTCGACTGCCCAGGTAAGCTCCAGTTTCTCTCTTTATCCACTCTTTTCCAACCTCGAAATAGTTGGCGTGAAGACGAGTTACATTATCACCAAAACTACCATCTGCCCTGAGAGCTCAACTGGTAAGCTCTCTTCCACGAAGAGTTTGGTCACAGTTGGATATCAGGGTTTCCTGCTATATCGGACATGTTTATCATATGCTATAACCTGTACTGACATGTAACAAACAGCCGCGCCACCAAAGCCCGTCAAGACCTACCCAGGCCTTCCCCCAGTCCACGAGCCATCTACCCCAGTCGCTGGACCACCTAAGGAGACCTACCCATCTGTCCCCGTCCACGAGCCACCTCCCCCAGCTGCTCAGCCCCCCAAGGAGACCTACCCATCTGTCCCTGTCCACGAGCCACCTCCCCCAGCTGATGAGCCTCCTAAGGGTAACTACCCAGGTGTTCCTCCCAACAAGCCAACTACCCCAGTCTCCGGCCCACCCAAGGAGGAATACCCAGAGGTCCCAGTTCACGAGCAACCTCCCCCAGCCGACGAGCCCCCCAAGGAGAACTACCCCGGTGTTCCAGTCCCCCCTGCTCCTTACCCATCTGGTCCTCCTCCTGCTCCTGTTGCTCCTGTACGTTTGACAACCCCTAAACATGATTTTTGCTCAATGGCTAATTCCTCTTGCAGTACCCAACCGCCCCAGCCAGCACTCTCGTTCCCTTCCCAACTGGTACCGGTGCACCCGTTCCATCTACGCCTCCTTACGTTGTTACTGGTGGTGCCGTTGGTCTTTCTGTATCCGGCCTCCTCATGGCTGTGGGTATCGCCGCTGCCTTCTTGTAAACTCCCGTCTGTATATGGGATATAGGAGAGCGGCCCTAGGATCTGGGAGCCATGTTGAGCGATTGGAAGGTAGCTGCCGGAGTAAGATAGGTGGGAATGAATATAGATTCGGCTTCGCGGATAGAATTTCCTGCCTACTACCTTTTTAGCCTCTGCGGGTGTCTTAGCCTTTGTGGGCCTGTAGTGTACATTGTAATGAGATGAGGATGTTTTTCTGACGATGATCAGTAATTAAGCGGGTTTTAATTGTCATGGTTTTTGTAGCTGGATTGCGCTCGATCAATATCAATTTTTTGCATGTAACCATCCATCCCTCAAATTACCCCGACGTGCTCTATTGGCATTCCATTGAGTGAACAAATCGTCTACCAGTTGACACTAGCCTGTAAACCATGTCGCATCTACATACATGCAAACAAACAACCAATCAACCCCCCGTCTCACACAGTCCCCAACCCTTCCGCACCTACAAACACACCTCCCACCCACCATGACACCAACACGTAAATCGGTACGTAAGTCAATAGATCAGTCATTAAATCTGTACGGTAGATTAACCCACGGGACACGGCGTCGGCGGACTTCCGTGTGCGGGGCGCGTACGGTCATGGGGAATGGGGGCGGAGGGGATGGTTTCATACCGTAGCTACCGGTAGGTAGTAAGTAGTACCTAAGGTAGGTACCTACCGGTATATCTATATTTGGATTCGGATCTGGATTCGGATTGCGATCTGGATTTGGATATTGTGGATTTAGGTTTGGATTTGGGTTTTACGACGATGTAGTTCGGTTCTTGGGGTCTTGGTTTTTGGGGGGTTTTGGGTTTGATGGATGGTTTGATGGATGGATGGATGGATGGATGGGGCGGTGGGGGGGGGGGGGGGGGGGTAAGTTTACGGGTAATTTGGGTGGGTTGGTGG